GTGGATGAGATTGACGCAGCTGTACAAGTTATACGTCCATGTACAGAAATAACTCTTCATCATCCTTTGATCAATGTGAAAAAAGTTAACAGAGTTATCTCCATCTTTCCAACAGACGACTGAATCAATGAAGTAAAATTAAAATGGGATTTCAACCTGGTTATCAGGCTACATAAAGAGAGAAATGTATGGTAGACTTATTTACCTCATTGTGTTGCAGTTTTAGTTAATTGTGGAAATGACAGTTTCATTTATTGTGTCATGTGGGACTGAAATAAAGTAACAGGCACTCCCTATTCAAAAAACAAAAAGTGTCTGACTGTTGAATCATGCTGGACATTTTGACACAAAACAAGACAGTTCATTGCCTTTGACACAAAATTGTGTTCAACAAAGAAAAACAACAAAAAGCATGAACATTACTGGGTGAAAGACTACAAGCAGTGTAAACACCATGTGGACATGAACAGAACAATTCCTGTTGTTGCTTTTCACTTTCCAGTGTAGAACACAGATTGTTCTTTTTACAGATTTTAGTCAGACAGCTGAGTGTGGGTCAGTTAGAAATTTTGACAGAAGGAAGTGGTTTGGTGTAACATTTCAGTTGCACTTTAGAAACATGCATTACATTAAACTATACAGCAATGGTCCAGTGTCGTCATACAAGGAAGCAGCTAACAATGCAGACAAACAGATTCTCATCTTCTCAAAGTCGAACAGAAACAATAGAGGACTAATTAAAACAACACAAAAGACATTCACTAATCCCTGATTGCTCTTACACCACACAACGCTGGAAAAACAACAACAAAATAAACGTAACTAAATCCAGCTTGAGTTCAATTCGAAGAATTCTCTGAGCTCACCCTTACCTGGCACTGTGAAGTCCTGAGTGTATATGATCTCATCCTCTCCATCGTAGAGCTCGTCATCATCCTCCTCTGTGTAGCCGTGCAGGTCCTCCAGGTACGGCACCACCGTCATACTTCGCCAAGGATCCCTGCTCTCTGCGCTGGCAGGGATGGGCACAGGGGGCTCAGACGGAGGGTGTTTCTTACGCACCCAACTGGAAGGGATTGGGGGGGAAATGGACATGTTAACGACAGATCAGCCTTTAACAATGTCTTTAAAACACTTACTGTAGGTCAGGTTATATAATAGACATATCTCTGCACATAACACATGTTCAATAGGATGCAAAGGGACTGCCACCCATCATTAAATACATGACACATGCTTTATACTAAACCACTCACTTGTGTTGCCTTATGTTCTGTATGGAGAACCTCTTCGCAGGGTCGTACTCAAGCATTCCTGAAAAACAAACATTATAAAGGTCAACTGAATCACAACAACCCTGAACAATTTCCCCACTTACATCTCTTTCTGTTAAGTGTTTAACATTAACTGGAGCCACTGCAGCAGACGGAAGATAAATTAATTCGAGGAACATTAATTAACGCAAGTAATAATCTCATTCATCACTGTGTGTCAAGACATCCTGCAAAGCTTAAGGAGTCAGAGAGGTACAGTAAGGAAACATCAATATGAGCAGCAAAACAGCTGTACCAATGTAATGAAGATTTTGTCCCTCAATTATCATAATGTGAGCTGAATCTGTGGGAAAAGCAGAATGTCAGTGTGATAAGCAGCAGTGATGCAGTGCCTATCCACACCTAATAATGTAATTGTCTCCCAGCAGGCAGAGGGGCAGCATGCAGAGTGCTGATAGTAGTGCTGCGCCTGCTGAAGGACACCTTTTGTGGCACTGGGCTTATTTTAGTCCATGTAATTATGGACTGACTATCTCTTAGGTGCTGCGTCATCACACAGACGTCACACGCTCACACAAAATGGGGGATGGAGGCTCGATGGGTTATAACTGCACCAGAATGTAGCTTTTCCCCGCTATTCATGTTTAAACATTCAATTCACCGTGACAGAGACGTCGCTCAAAATATCGGTCTTCAAATATAGAAGGAAAGTAACAAGAATACTAAGCATTCAGCTTTAGTTAAGGGTTTGATTAGATAATCGTTTGGGATTCTGAAGTCATTCAGACGATTACACGTTTCACTATAAAAGACTCTTAAATCTCTCTTTTGTTGTTTCAAGTGGCAGAAGCATTGCAGCATTCCACTTGGGAAAAGAAATGCCTGACTGTGAAGTGTTTAGTATTCCGCTGCTGGCTCCAGATCAATGGAAACTACGTCAACAGCTGGAGGGATTTCTACAGTTTGGAGGAAGCCTGGCATGCTGAGAAATCACACCGACTGTCAGTGTCACAGCACCATCTACTGGACACACAGAAAATATCACAGTGCAACTGGCAGGGACCTTTTAGTGATTGATTACTGATGTCATTTCATACCTGATAAATTCCAGCTTTTTACTTTCATTTTCTGTAATGCTACACAAATTAGCATAAAAACAATCTAAGAACAAACCTTTTTCACTGACATTATTAATGCATGACACTGACACTGCTTGATGATGCCAACGGATTAGTCCTACGCCGACTGTGAATCAGCCAATTCAGCACAGGTATGTAACCACAGGTATGTAACACTTAGGGAAGTATAATTTGGCCTTGAGGTGAAAAGATTTAGCTCTATACCGCACTCACCTCGCAGCAGGTCCGACAGGAGGGGTCCACAGTCCTCGGGAATAGTGTAGTCTCCTTTTCCAATGTTCTCAAATAGCTTATAGATGTTGTCCCCCTCAAACGGATACAGACTTGTTGTAATGTTGTATCTGAACGGATGGAAGGAGGAGTCGTAAGTGTATCATAAACTGAGACAGTGTTAATAGTTGCACATAGCTAATGTTTTATATAGGAGCTCCGATAGACCTTTCTGGTGTTATCTTTGACCATACAGTGGCCCTCTTTAACCACAGCTCTGGCTATTTCCAACAGTATAACAAGCTTACACACACACCATTACGTGTCAGTCCTCTCTGTATCTGGTAGGCGGTATGGCAATTTATTCACCTAAATGCTATAATTGAAGTTTTTACACAGAATGACCACTAGCCAGGAAGACTCTTTTAGAGTGTAAATATACACAGGCACGCTCATGTACATAAAAATGGCTGAAAATCACCAAGGTTGTCTCTTAAGTATCTTTAAGCGTGCCACTGAATGCCTATTCACTTCATGGCTGATTCTCTGCACTCAAATATTTTTCTATGTCAAAAGCAAGCAATATCTAATTTTGTCATATTAAAATATATTAACAACTTAGCAAATCTCCTGTCAATAACGGGGCCTTTAAAATGTCATGAAATTCAAAGCAATCTTCTCTGACTTGTAAGAACGTGGGCAACACAAGGCTTTGACTACTCACAGTGTTACTCCAGCAGACCAAATGTCCACTTTAAACCCTGAAAAGGTGTCCAGTCCATTGGCAATCTCTGGAGGCTGGAAGGCCGGAGAGCCTTGACTGGTGCGACATGTGTCGTCCTCTGCAAATGGGTGAAGGGCCTGAAAAATATAGAGCGTAATACAGTGATGAGATTAGTATGAATATTAGTTTTTCTGTATCTATAACCACAAATAT